ACACAGCAAGAACGCAGCGCGAGGAGTTGTGTGGGGGCCACAGCAGCAATTATGCGACAGTAAAAACTGTGTAATTTTTAACGTTTATGGATTTTTAATAATTGCACTAATTGGCCGCCAGGTGCACGTTCGTAGATACACAGTGTGTTCGTAGATACACAGAGTGTAGTGTTCCGATCTGCGGTGCGCTGCAATTTCTTATGACTTCTGTTAGTCTCCGTATTTGTTTCTACCGACTATCTTTTCTGTCTGCCTTGTTTTCAACTCGCTACTGCTCCATATTTGTACGTCTCAAATTCCACTGCACCGTCTAACTGCACCGCTTTAATATTTATTCATAAGCCTAACAAACCTATGAGTTTGAAGTTAACCTGTGGGATGAGTTGGCCAAAGGGTAGACTGCGCGTAATTTGCGATTCCTAAGCACGTTTCATTATAATTTTAGTGCACTTAACAGTTTCATAGCTAACGTTTAGTTAAAGGCGGCGTCTATACTGCAGTGCACCCCCGTTTATTTAGTTGCTGGTCAGAATGGCAGTGGAATCGGCGTGCACTCGCTCGTGATTTACCCGTTGACCTCCTGTGCGCTACCGTTTCGCTGGCTGAAGATGTCGCCCAAATGGTAACGCCAGTTAGCTACTTGAATCGAATGAGGCACTTGGTGCTGTTATGTTGCCACGTAATTTTGCCAACGCTACTGTACTTAAATCATCATAAATTTCCTAAAATAGAGCTCGCCAAATTTTTTTTTTTTTCGATTTAATTTTCTTTTCTTTCTCGTTTGGTTTGGAATCTAATTTTTTCATAAACGTGCCCACTCGCAATGCGGAAGCGTGCAGGTACTTCATAAGTATTCAATTACCAGCAATTTTAGCAATACAAAATGCTAGATGTTGTGAAGTTTTGCGATATGTATGTATGTATTTGGGATTTTTTTTTCTTTTGTGTGCTCCTCTGCGAAGAGCTGTGGTTTATATTAATATATACATTTAACTATATAGAGCTGACTATAGTGATGATATGTAGTGCATACGTACGGTGGTGGGAAAATAAATAGGGCCGCGATATTTTAACCAGTTTTCGCCATTTTTTCTTTTGCTTATTTAATGTTTAACATTTTTTTTTTTAAATTTTAGCTCACTATCTAAAAAAATCACGTAAGCTCAAATTTCAAACAGTGTACAAAAATTTTAAAAATTAAACAAAATTTCATCAAATATTTTAATCAGAATCTTTTTTAATGTTGGTATGTAGTTTAATGAAATTTTAATATAATAAATTTAAAAATTGAAGTAGCAGGATTTATCGTTTATTTTTTTTTTGGTGAGGTTGTCATCCTCTTTCTTCCATATAAAGTATGCTCGGATTTTTTTATTTATTTATTTTTGCTGAAATTCGTCGAATTTTTATAAATCTTGTACAAAGTATGAAATTTTGATTTTTTATAAAAAAATATAATAAACAAAAAAAAAATAGCCAAAACTTGTTAAAATACCGCGTCCCCATTTTTTCCCCGCCGCCGCACAGTGGGCTGAAACCACACCCTGTGGTCAAAATAAAGTATATGCTCTTGGGATTAACCTTTTTGGAAGATTTTTTTTATTAGCGTTGAGTTCTTAAGGGAAAAATAAAATAATTGAAACCAAATATTTAAGGTTACTTATAGCCGAACAAGTAATGGCTAAATATTAATTTTTAACCTTAACTTCATTCACTCATTAAGTTTCCCTTGAAATATATGTATGTATTTATCTTTAATTAAAAATCAAAATCACCCAAACAGCTTAATCCAAAAAGGAGATATTTTATTAAGGGACTCAATTCAGCCCACTGTGCGCCGTAGATGCACTGGCGCATTTATATGGTAAATAATTTTATCTGTTACGACATGCGTTAAAAACAAAAAAAAAACTATTGTATGTCACGAAACAATCAATATACCTCCGAAAACAGAGTCAAATATAGTAAAATTGGAAGGGTCAAACATCATTTTTCGTATATAGTTTGTTCGCTATTTTTGCTTAGAATTAATCGTAGAATTTGAATTTGCAATACACTTTCTTCGATAATTTTGCTTCTAACAAATAACTCCGCCCTAATGTTCAAGAAAATAAAATATAATTATTAACTAACGTAATTAGATGCGGTATGCATATGTAGGCAATTATGTTGAAAAAAAAACATATATCTATAGTATGCATGTGGCACAAAACAAATGTATGCATGTATGTATATATGTATGCACAACAAACCTTATCATCGCATCAAGCCAGCCTCCAAAAACGCCGTTAGAATTGAAATATACAAGAATACAATATGAAGGCAAATTTGAGCAAAAATATACCAACATAAATAAATGTACTCGCACATATTTTCGAGTAACGCTTATCAGTAGCATAAGAACTACATAGTTTCCGATAAGTAAATATTCAAATATTACTCATTCCTTAACGGAAAACAATAATTTGCGTCATTCTGTGAGTAGCTAGGAATGGTTTAGTTTTGGGATGGTATTACTTGCTCATACATATTTGTTTTTATCGGGACGTCTAATCGACATGTTTGATGTATCATTGAAAATGTTTTGCAGAGTGTGTCCAGATTTCAAATTTCAGAAACGCTCCTCTGAATTCTTAAAAATTTGCTTGACTGGTTGCGAAAAAATTAAGGTTTTTGTCGACTTATCGTTATTCTGTAGGTCAATACCTTCCCAACGATCCTTATGTATTGTACTTCGGCTACTACATAGTTCAAAATATTTAGAACTGAAACGATTTTGGCTCGTATCTCCGCTACGTCGTGTTTTGGTATGAATATATCGAGCCCAACCGGTAAAAAGAGTAAGCGACATTTTTTTTTAATTCATTTTTTTTTTTGATGCAGAAATGCATCCAGATTCTCCAGAAACATTTCTGCATTAAAGCAAAATTTAGAAAAAAATGTCGCTTACAACATTTTAGCGATTAGGACTCGATATGTACAATATGTTTGTCTGGCTGCAAATACCTTTATTTTTCAGAAAAAATTAAAAAGGTTTTGCTCCGGATTGTTTCGATTCGAATGTCGTTGTGGGCGTGGCTGGATCCCGAAAGTCAAAAAAAGGCAATATTTTCAACTGCACCACTCGGCCCATACTATTCATATGGATATCAGTAGAAAGATCCTAAAACATCCCAGTCGGAAAAGTAGTAATGCATTACGTGTGTGATAAATAATATAATGTATTTTTTATGAGTTCTCGATTATATTACTGCTAACTATGTAATCAGCATTCTAATGTATTCAAAAAGTTCCAAAAATTTCATATTAAAGACACATCCATTTCTCGATACTAGGTAATTCAAAATTGAATGCCCCACTTTTCGAATGTGAAAGGGGTTGTTTTACTGATTATTTTTTCGATTACTATACATTTTCTCACTGGGATGCTACCGGAACGATGTCTTTTGAGCTTATAATAATAAACATGTCATTGCGTTACTGGCTGAAAACTAAAAATTGGGCTGCTGGAAATAAAAAATATAGAAGTTTCGTTTGCAACGTTCCGAATAAATAAGAATATTTTCCGTTAGGATCCAATGCAGTTAAAAAAATGCGCTTCAATTTTTCTAAACTTTTCGCGATTTACTGGAACTTTTGGAATCTGTTGAAAATTTGTCTAGACTTTTCAAGACTTTCTGTATTTTTCGAGATATTTTGACACCTTTCTAAATTTTCAGGACTTTTTGTGGATTTCGGGATCCATATAAAATTTTTCGGGTATTTTCGTTACTTTCGGGATCTACTAGCACTTTTCTAGAATTAACGGGGCCTTTTGAGATTTTCAAGATCGAAAATGTTCGAGCCTTTTTGTGGCCCTCGGAATCTTTTGACACTCTTTTGAAATTTTTTGGACTTTTTGGAACTTGCAGGATTTATGATATATTCTGAATTTTTCGGTACTTTTCATGGCTTTCGGAAACTATTGATAACAAAGTGGTATAATTTTTCATTACTATTTTCACATTTTTATGATTAATTTTATTTCTTACATAGGTGGCAACTCCATTAAAATATTTACTTCTATTAAAATTTTCTCAAAATTTATCTTCAGAAAATATTGTACGATTTTTATTTTTGACTTATATATTTAAGAAATGTTATTTTAGGAAAGGTGGCAACTCTACTACTCTATTATTTACATTACATTTTACCTACCTGGTTGCCAAGTCGAAATTTCTTGATACCTACTTATAGTTAATGACCTAATTTTTTATTTATTTTTTCTCCTGAGAATAAAAAATATTATAAAAAGTATATCAAAAACAAGTAGGGCATTTTAAGAAGTGAACTGAATTTGTATTTTAGTATATCCTAGTACCAAATTCTGTGAAACACGCAGTTTCGAACAAAATGTTGGTTAGGGCCTTTGTGAATTAAGGTAACGATATCTTCTTTCCAAATATATATTTCATTATTTGAAAGTTGTGAGTAAGTATAAGGAAGCAAAGCAAACATGAGCAAATACTTTGAATACACTTTTCCAAAAACTTTTGCAGCCCTCTGGTTCCAATCTCATAAGTTAACTTTTTTTTTTATTTTACAAAAGTGACTATTATTTATTAATAAATTTGTATTCGCCGGATCAACCAGTATAATAAAGCTCTCCAAAAGAACTTTTATAGTCGCATTTTTGACCGTGAACGTACATAAATACTTACATACATAAGTATGAAGGGCGCAAAAATCCAAAACGTTGCACACAATCTAAAACTACAAACACACATCTTGAATAATGTGTATTGTGCACAGATTTCAAAAAAAAATCTTGCTTCCCCATTAAATGAAAAGAATTTATGCGATAAGCAGCCGAATATTTTGCAATCTCTTATATTTGGCTACAGTCGCTTGATGTTTACAAATTATGCTTCATGCTGAATGCTGATTTTAGTTACAAAACGAATTTTAAGCTAGCAACACACACTTAAAATTTGAAGTGTTATTACCTAAAAACAAATAAAATGTTCACTTTCACGCGTATAAAATTACTTTTACTGCTCTTACAAACACTCGAAATTTTGGGGCATCCGAACGTCAGTGAATTCACCTACGAGACTTGCAAGCAGCTAAATGCCACCGTCAACATTACCTGTACCGAACTGGATACGCACACCACCATAGTATTCAACAATGAGGATCACTTCAAAATTTACGTCTCAAAGGACTACCAAAGCTTCACCATTTCATGCATAGGCACAGCAGAGGACATGTTGCAAATTGTCGGCAATCTACCCGAACTCTCGCTGGGCCGAATACAAGACATCACAATCGACGGCTGTATACCCTTCGACGATATATTCCGGCGACTAGGCATCAGCACGGGCACAATGGTGAAGCTACAACGCGGCGTCACCAACACACCGCTCAAACGCAGCCACCTCACCAGCCTGGATGGTGTCATCGAATTCGTACTAAGTGGCTTCGATCAACTGGATGTCGATATACTTACGGATATGCGAAGCATTGAAACACTAAAGTTTGCATGGTTGGAGGCACCTTTGCCCGCTGGCTTCCTAGAGCCAATCAGCGCACACTTAAGGCAAATACAAATGCGTGATAATCGCCTGCAAACGCCACCAGCGCGCCTATTTGCACCGTTGCACCACCTCGAGTTGCTCGATTTGAGCTACAATGGTTTGAGCGTCATACCAGCTGATAGTTTTGAGCAACTCTACAATCTAACTGAATTGGATTTGAGCAACAATCGAATTGAACGCCTGCCAGCGGATGTCTTCCGCTCCCTGCGCGAACTCACGGTGCTATATCTGTCAAATAATCGCTTGCAGCAACTGGAGCTCGGCACCTTTGCTAAGCTCGGCAGTTTGCAACATCTCGAAATCGAAAATAATGCGCTTGACCTTGACGCTGCGGTAGCCTGCAACATCTTCGACGGCCTCACCAAGCTGGAGTATTTGGAGTTGAGCAACAATTCGCTTAGCGTTTACTGCTTGCCACATCATATGGGATCGGTGCGCGTTAAAGTGGCGCATAACCGTATAAGCGCGTTGCTGGTGCATGCTGCTGGTGAAAATCAGCCGCGTCAGTTGGCCAACTTGAATCTGCGTAACAATCGGCTGCGGCAATTGAGCGAGGAAACGCTGCTGTATCTGCATGATTCTTTAGCGGATATATCGCTGGCGCATAATCCCTGGCAATGCGATTGCGCATCGGTGCTTTGGTTTAATTTTGTTAAGCTGAATAGCAAGCGTGTGAGCGATTTAGAAGAGTTGAGCTGCGCTGATGGCAACGCAGAGGGACAGGTGGCCCGGCTGACATCGAGTGATGTGTGTAAACCGGAGTCACATTTGTATTACATAATCGCGATTGTTGCACTCGCAACTGTTGCGCTGACGCTGTTGGCTGTGGCAGTTGGGGCATATAGGCGAGCGGCGCGACGGAGTGCCGGAAAGCAGAATAGTTGCGCAGAAAGTGAATTGAGTTAAAGTGAATTAGCCGTTCAAGTGTTGGCGGTAGTTTTCATAAGAGCTCTCCGATGAGATTTACGGCATAATAAAAAATTATAATTTATTTTAGAGTCTTATTAATTAAAGAGAAATGTAAGGAACGATATTGTATAAACAAGTAAGGACAATGCGCTCTTCGGTTATGCCGAAGGCTTCATACCTTTCATGTAGATCAGAAAATTTTACTTCCACTCATGGGCGTAGCCAGGTAGGGGCAGGGGGGTGCTCGAACCCCCCTAACTTTAAAATTTTCCTTATATACATATATATAAAATAGTACCCGGAAATGCCAGCTTAATAGGGTCGAATTGTTGCCACTTCAAGATAGAATCGTAAAATTATCCATTATATTTGAATAAATTTTTTATTTATTTTTATAATTTTTTTTTAACAAAATTCTGCAAAAACTATATTCTTTTTCGTTTATACCTTTACACAAGAATATATCGATGGCTGAGTGGAAGATCGACCTATGCTGCCGACAGTTCGAAAACGCCCCATCTCAGAAAAATTTTCAAAAACGCCCTATTTCAGAATTTGATTGATAAACGCCCTATTTCAGAATTTTATTGAAAAACACCCTATCTCAGAATTTGGTTGAATAACGCCCTATTTCATAATTCGGTTCAAAAACGCCCTATCTCAAACGAAAATACATTGAAAATAAGCTGAGATAGGGCGTTTTTGAATCGGCAGCTAAGATAGGGCGCTCTTCAACCAAATTCTGAGGTAGGGCGTTTTTCAATCAAATTCTTTAAAAGTTTTCTGAGATAGAGCGTTGTTGAAAATTTTTCTGAGATAGGGCGTTTCCACTCAGCCATCGATATTCACTATGAAATGAAATGGAGCTGAATCCATAGTAGTTAAAATGTTTTTTCTGAGATATAATTTTTTTGGTAAAAATACATTTTTGAGGTACATACATACTTAATGTGACCAACCCTACTTCTTTCGGAAGTACGGTACTTCTTTTTGAGCCGTTGTACTTCGTACATCGAAGTACAGTCAAATGTACTTATTTGCAATGTTCTGTACTAACCCAAGGCACATTGAACAGATAGTATCAGTATAGCAGCTGCTTTGATTTTTTTTTTCAAATTATTCGCTCTCTAAAATGTCAAATATTTTTAATTTCTTCTCGCAAAAAAATATAAATTGTCAAAATCTTTTTAAATGTGAAACCTTTTCCCATACAAAACAAGCAATTGAAAAGCAACGTTTGGAACGTTCACCTAACTCCTCAGCACAAACGCTGATTACTGGGCATTGCATATGATGTATCAATGCTTCGAGAACCAAACAAAATTTACTAAAAAAGAATGTCGCACTTTAGGTAAGACAAGAAAAAATACGAAATACATATTAATGTTGTTTTTGCTTTAATACCTGTTTGATATGCCTTGGTACTACCTTTTAAGTTGAATTTTCTTCAACTGTTTCGAAAAATTTCAAAAGCTTAGTCATCTCAGTTAAGAAAGGTACTCATAGATCAACACATAAATTATGACTTTCAATCCTTTCACTCCTCTAGCTGACAAATTTCATTACAAACTAGCAATTACCCGGCGTGCTTCGCTGCGCCTTAAATGTATTTTTGTGTTGTAACTCTCCCCGTAAGCTCTTATGGCCTCATTTACAAAATATTTTTAAAGAACTTTATGAAGTTAGATTTAAAAAAATCGATCTATGCAGCATTGTTTATTTTTTTTTAGTTAATATATTTTCGAAGGTAATTAGAAAATATGTAAAGAACCGACTTTCTCTTGGAAATTTAATTTATAATCTTATAACTGGAGTCTACTATCGCACCCTTTCCTCAAACGTGTATTAATTCAATATTCAAATAACGTATATTTATATAATTTGAAAAAATCTCCCTACTATACAAATATGTACAGCAATATTAACTAATATTTTCAAATGTTGTGAGAGGGAGTAACAAAACAAAATTACTTTTAAGGCGCAGCGAAGCACGCCGGGTATTCGCTAGTTAGTTAATATTGCTGTACATATTTGTATAGTAGGGAGATTTTTTTCAAATTATATAAATATACGTTATTTGAATATTGAATTAATACACGTTTGAGGAAAGGGTGCGATAGTAGACTCCAGTTATAAGATTATAAATTAAATTGTTGTCAATGTTTTTTAATAATTGTAAACATTCGCCAGCTGTTTCTGTTTATTTATTAGTAAAAGGCAGGACTGCCAGTCTTGCGGCAAAACAATAATAAAAATCCAAAAAAACACGTAAAGCCAAACAGAATTAATTGCAAAACGTGCAATGATACACACATTAAATTTTTTATGTGCACCCTCCACACAGACCCCAATTACCCCTGAAAATTTCATTGAAATCGGGCAAGCCGTCTAGGAATGATAGAAATCTCTTATGTGCACCCTCCACACAGACACCAATCACTTCTGACAATTTCATTTTATGTGCACCCTCCACACAGACCCCAATCACCCCTGAAAATTTCATTGAAATCGGGCAAGCCGTCTAGGAATGATAGAAATCCGAAAAAACACGTAAAGCCAAACAGAATTAATTTTTTTTTTTGTTTTTGCAAAACGTGCAAAGATACACACATGAAATTTCTTATGTGCACCCTCCACACAGACCCCAATCACCCCTGAAAATTTCTTTGATATCGGGCAAGCCGTCTAGGAGGAGTATGCGAACAGGAAGTTTTGCCACTTAATTTTATATATATAGATGGCTACTCAATCAAAAAAAAATTAAAAGGTGTTAGAGAGTTTAAAAATTCTGTGGCGAATCAAGCTTGCTCCTGTGGATATTCAGAAACGAGAGTATCGATGCCACAGTAAATATTTTCTTATCCGGGCAACATATTAACTATTTCCTCATTAACTATCAATATTGTCAATGTTTTTTAATAATTGTAAACATTAACTATCGTACAGTCCTTATTTTTTGGACACGGAATTGCTCAACCCTTCAAGTGGGTTTGATTAAACTTACATATCGCAAAATATACTATTATTATACTTATCTTAATTTTTGAGTCTGGGGAAAGTTCTCGAACTTCTCTAACACGCAAAAGAAATTTGAAATATTCCCACATTTATCTAAGTTTTCCAGCATTTTAAAATCATAGATGTAAAATTGAAAATAAAAAAAATTAAATTTTTCCAAAATATTGTTCCTAGCATACCAGCGGAGTCCGATAACAGACCGTATAGGGAGCATACTCTTACCGTTTTCGCATATTCTGCTTTTACGATTTTCTCATTACTTTCATACTATTTTCGGTGTTCAGTTTCTGTACTTCTTTGAGCTGTGAAATAGTTGGTCACATTATACATACATACTACAATGTAGTAAATAATTTTCACACGACATATACAGTGCTGAACAGAAGTATTGGCACAGAGAATTTTTCGCAATATATGCAAAGTTCTTTATTCTAATTTATTTTCGATATTTTTTTTATAAAAATAATGATCATTCTACACCACAAAACATAATAATAAAAGCCCTAAACTTTGTGCAAAACTCAGGAAAAATCATCAAATTTGCACACTAATTTGCAACTTTTTATTCAGATTTTCTCGAAAAATTCTAAGTACGCAGTTTTATAGCCCATTCAAATTTAGTATAACAAAGTGCAAGTTTGAAGTCGCTAGAAAATCGCATTGATTTTTGGCAATTTTTTTTCACGCAAGTTCTTCCATACAAAGTAATTCGACAATTATTTTTTGTATGGAGAAAATGAGCAACACCTTCCACTAAAAAAATTGCCAAAAACCAACGCGATTTTCTAGCAACTTTAAACTTGCACTTTGTTATACTAAATTTGAATGGGCTATAAAACTGCATACTTTGAATTTTTTTAAAAAATCTGAATAAAAAGTTGCAAATTAGTGTGCAAATTTAAAGAATTTTCCTGAGTTTTGCACAAAGTTTAGAGATTTTATTATTACGTTTTCTGGTGTAAAATGAACTATATTTTTATAAAAAATGATCGAAAATAAATTAGAATAAAAAACTTTGCATATATGACGAAAAATTCACTGTGCCAATACTTTTGTTCGTCACTGTATATTATTATTTATTATTATTAGATGTAGTGTGGGTACTGCATTAGTTAGGGAGATAGGTAAATTTTTTAATTAAAAATATCATATCTCCGGAAAAAACATTTAGCTACTAAGGTTTCAGCTCGAGTGCAGTTCAAAGTGCCTATTTTCTTATGAAAAAGTATGAAAGAAAAAAGATAGTTTTTGCAAAATTTGATTTCGAAACAATTTTAATAGAAATACATAAAAAATTTATAACAATAAAAATCGCGCGGCAACAATTGCCAAATGTATGGTAAATAAAAAAAAATCGCCAGATATCGATTTCTATTTTTTCGAGCAAAAAAACACGGCTGTCTTTGTATGGACCAACAAACAACATATTTCAGTTACATCGAAATTAAAACTCATGATTGTCATGAAAGGTATAAAGTGCGACCATAACGTCAGGCAGTATCGAATTTAGAATCTTTTTATAAACACTTTTTTTTAATAAAAAAGCATAAACCCAAATACATAAATAGTATGTTTTCTTTATGTCTGATTTATGCGTTATGATTTCAGCTATTTGACCTTTGCAAGCAGTTTGATTGCTGGCACTTCGATAATTTTTTCCCGAAATTGATAATTTGTTTCTTTGTTTATCAAATTTCGTAATTTATTTTTCAGTTTGGCACCTTTTTCGATTCGGTGATAGATACATATTCGAAATGTAGAATATATCCTCCCCTTACACATTTATGTATGTTTTTAGGTCAATAGAGGCCCGTTCTGATTCCACATAGCCCGTAAGAGTCTTCATAGGGAAGTGCAATTGTTTTCTGTTTAAACTTAGGAGCAACGATGAGCCTTTCCTGTTATAGAAACACTAAATACACCCGGATATCGCCTCTACGGTAAATTACGCGTCTGTTACAAAAAAATATATGTCCACA